ATACGTGCTCCACTCGACCATGCCCAAAATTCAGAACTGCGTCTACGGGCAGACGATGCAATATGCAGAAAACGCTTCTTAGTCATCTTCAATTTTTCTCTCAACTCTGGTTGCCTGATGCCAAAGAGAAGGAACACAAAAACTCCCTGGAGGGAGTTAAAGATGGAGAATAAGACATTGAACAAGTAGCGACCTCCACCAAAAGACAGAAACCCGAAAGCCCATGTCAGTCCCATCAGCGTGGCTATCGTAACGGCGTTTTGGGCGCGGCGAATGGCTTCCATGCGCGCTCTGATGATATTATCTTTCTTTGACTCCAATGTGCTTGACTTGGAGGTTGAGATCCTACCACAACTCAGTTTGTAGAGTACCATAGCGAAAATGATGACATTAAATGACAGGATGAGTCCGATGGGAAGGATCAGTCCGAAGTATAACGAATATCCAGGGAGAATGAAACAGCTGGAAATAAGAACAAATTATAGATAATAAGTCACCAGTTCGACATTGATTCTCCGATATAAAGTAAATGCCTTTTGCAAGAAAACTATCATGAATGTAGCAGAGGTTTCTTTTGTAAAGTAACATAATATTACCTTCTCGCACTTTTTTTTTTTTAATATTTTTTTTATTGATTCCAAACAATACAAATTAATTTAGAAATAAAGTACAGTTGTTTTTCCTTGACATGAATTCAAATTTTTTTCATTACATAAATTGTACAATTAATGAAAAAAAAATGAAATCAGTTGTAGCATAAAACAAATAACCCCATCCAACCAAACACACTACTACCCCCCCCCCCCATCCCCACCATGCGTCACACACACACCACCCGACCATACTTCCACCACACACTGTTCCTAGCCCCCTCGGAAACCCCAAATTGGAGCGACAGACAAACAGAAACAATCTATTTAAAACATTTTAAAACAAAATCATTTAAACGAGGCTACAATAGCCACAATATTCCAGTGTAAGTTCATGAAAACTTTACTTGTTCCCACTTCTTTAAATGTAAGGCCAATTTACCTGCCCTCCCTGCAATATTCTTTTCTTCTTCCCTAAATTCCAACAGTTCTTTTTGAAACTCCCCCGAGAACAATATTACGGACTTTCTCCTGCATCAATATATCCAATATTTCATTGCAAAAATAATTGTATTACAAATCTTTATTCGTGGGGAGTTACCGGACAACCCTAAATGAATATCTATCCAGTCGATAGACCTTAATTCCCTTAGCTCAAACTTAGCTATTACATTTTGCCATAATCTTTGAACATGTACACACTCCCAGAACAAGTGTAAATATTTTTCTATATTTTGCTTACAAAATGAGCACAAGTTATCTACAGCAAAGCCAAATCTGAATAAATGTTCTCTAGTATATATTGCTCCATGAAGCAGTTTATACTGAATTTCTCTTAGTCTGTTAAAAAGAGTAACTTTCCTAGGCCTACTAAATATCTCCCTACATACCTCATTTGAAAAATCTGAAAATTCCTGTCCATCATGAATCTTTAAGACAAATAAATTGTGTAACTTCTCTATAAAATATTCATAAACCTTCCTCAATAATACATCTCTGAGGAGCTTCACAGTACTGTTAAACTGCATTCAAATATCATACTCTTTTACATCCACTAAACTCCAGTTATTCTTTTTTCCGCTTTTTAAAATAGCTTCCCCAATATTCCATACATCAACAATTTTGTTTCCTTTTAACCCCAAATTTTGAAAATGAGATATTGCCCGCATGCCATTTTCAGCAAAAATATCTTGAATTAAAATTATATTGCGTGTAAACAACTCTTCATCAAAAATAATTTTCTTTTTCAATAACAAATCTTTATTGTTAAAAATATTTGGATTATTCTTATTTATTTTTCTCCAAAATTATGTTCCTATTATATTCAACACATTTATTTTCATCATACATTTCCTTACCACTGTTTTCTTCTTATTTGACTTTAGCAGTTGCTGTTTTCCCTGCAGTTTGCAGTTGCAGTTTCCCCCTCCTCGTACCACGCAGCTCGTGACCTAATCTGTATTCCTTCTATAGACTCCTCATGCAATTTCTTTAATTGTTTTTTTCTTTTCCTCCGTTTCTTCCAACTTCAATGGAAACTTAACTAATTCGCTTTCCAGCTGTTTTACTTCATTTTTTAGCCTTTGAATATTCTTTTTCTGTTCTTTTGCTTTTCCCTTCGAAATTTTAATGCGTATGCCTTCATTTTTATTTTCAAATAATCAGAAAATAACAATTTCTTGTCAAATATATTTTCCCAATCTCTTTTAATCAAATTGTTTTCATTTACCATACCTTCCAAAAACTTTTTATCTGAACAAAGACTATTATCAAATTTCCAAAATGACCTTACATGCATATAATTTGTCTTTACAAACTTAACTCCCAGAATGATTCCGGCATGATCAGGAGTGATAGACGGCAATATTTCGCAAGTAGATACAGCTTGTTCCAATTGATGTGAAATAAACCAAATAGTCTAACCGACTTTGAACCAATGGCGTCTTTTGCCTAAACGTGTACTGTTTTAATCCGGATTATTTTTCCTCTATACGTCGTACAACTCTAATTTTCTCAAAAACATCTCTAAATCCTTTACAAAGGTTGATCTAACTATACTCGTAGCTCCCATGTAATCCATTTTTTCATCACCAATAACATTAAAGTCTCCTCCTAGAATGATCGAATAATTCAAAGAGTACAAAGTTGAAATACCTGAGTCTATTTTTACAAGATATTTTTTTGTTGCTGAATATTTCCCCTTGTTGGGAAGTACACTTTCCCTATTAAGAGCCTCTTATCCCAAATTGAACCTTTTAATAAAATAGAACGACCATCCACATCTTTGACTACCTCCTCCACTTTAACATCTACATTTTTCGCAAATAGAAGAAGAGCTCCTCTACTGTGATTTGAGCCATGACAAAAATACATTGGCCCCTCCCAATCCTTTCTCCACGCCAATTCAATATCTGGTGTACTGTACGTTTCTTGCAACATTACTTCAACCCCTTTCTTACTTTTAGTCCAATTGAAAAAAGCTAATCGTTTAATGCTATCCCTTAAACCTCTAACATTTACCGACAAAAAATTGACACTATTCATTGATTTTCTTTTCTATTTATACACATACTTAAACAAAAATTGCAGTAAGAATTTGTTATCAATTGTAAAGTTTCCATGAAATTATGAACATCTATTGACCTTAAATTCAAAACAAACAGCTTCAATTCATGCGCCCCAAGTTGTAACTCGTGAGTATAGGCAGGAACAGACACCCCCTCACACACAGACATACCACAACACAGACAGCATACAAAAAACACTCACCCATAATAATGCAATATCATTCATTTAACACAATTCTTCAGTACACCCTCCGACCCCGCTCATGGCTCTGAACTGAAAACCCAACCCACCCTCCCCCATAATGCACCTCATAATACATAATTCCTCCCAGGTCAACTTGTGTCTTCTTCTTTTCCTTCCCGCCAAGTCCTTATTTCATATTGCTATTTTATTTTATTGTTATTATTCCCCCTGATACACCCTTGCTTGTTCAAAGCGACCATACACATACACACACGCGCGCACGCACACACGCACACACACGCGCGCGCGCGGGCACACGGGCACAACCTGCATGCACAACCACACACATTTCGGAACTTCCAACTGGTTAAATTGTTGACATTTGACAGGAATATCATTCATAAACACATTAAATATGAAATATTGTTTAATACAAAATAGCATAAGTATCTCTCTTGGGATCTTTTAAAAATTCTAGAAACAAACATGCAATTAGATACACATATTTTCAATATTCGCTTACTATTCACTATTTTGATAGGCTGTCCAATTGCTGGCAACTGTTATCATGACGACAACCAATGGAGTGCCTGCATACAAGATGTCAAAGAAAATTATGAGAAAAGTTAGGATAAGCTCAACATATACACATCTTAAATTTTAGCGGGGAAAACAGAAAGACCAGAATGAAGGTCTTTAGTTTTAAATTTGCTTAAGATTCTACGTTCAGGTGCAAAAAAAAAATGAATTTTCAAAATTTTAGCTATGTAAATAGGTAGCAAGAATTCACTCCTAAAACTGGTGAACCAGCTTTATTATATAGATGATTAACCCCTCCCCCTTTTACGTTATCTACTAATGAAGATCAGCAGAGTAAACATTGACTATTCAATCACATTTTCTCGAATTATATCGTGTTAGGAAACATGTCATGGCCTCGTGAGGAATAGCAGGCATTTCACGGTGTCAACCATCTGTAACGTAAATTATTACAAACTGACACAATTCAAGATCATATCATTTTCAAGTCTTCGATACAATTGTCAGTTATGTAAAGTGTTAGGGAATACATTTTTTGATAAACAATGCTAGACAGATTAAAGCGTATTTACTGCTAACATAAAGTAACCTATGTCGATAATGGTTTTGTACCTCAGCATATAGTTATTATTTACATTTTTTTTTATTTTAAATCAACTGTTTGAAATTGTTGACATGGTAAATTGTGAATATTCAAGTCACAAGTTACTTTATGAAAAGTTACGATTAGAGAACATGGATGGATGTCAACAAAATAGTTTAATGTCACAACAGTTGTGTCGATTTTTCGCAATGAGATACCAAGAGTAAAGTAACCTATGTCGATAATGGTTTTGTACCTCAGCATATAGTTATTATTTACATTTTTTTTTTTAAATCAACTGTTTGAAATTGTTGACATGGTAAATTGTGAATATTCAAGTCACAAGTTACTTTATGAAAAGTTACGATGAGAGAACATGGATGGATGTCAACAAAATAGTTTAATGTCACAACAGTTGTGTCGATTTTTCGCAATGAGATACCAAGAGTTCACATTTAGAGGCTTTTTTCTGAGATTTATTATTAATAATAGATTTTCGTTACGTGTACAAAATATTGAAAATTGTATATACTAATCTATGAAAACTTCTGTACTTTCGAACCTTGTAACTTACCCCAACCGATCATAGAGCATTTTAGTAGAAACTTCGGTATGTATGAATTCAGAACCCTAACAAACATCATGTACATGTTGAAGGCTTCTACACCCATCCAAGCAAGCGATGCAAGGCAGAAGTAATGCAATAGTATAGCAACCACAGTACAGCTGATCCTCCAGGTCGGTCGGTCAATACCGATGACGAAAGTGACGTACAGAGCTAGTAGCGCGAAACTGAGATTAATAAGTATCTGCTGTGGCTGTTTCCTGCGCAGTTTCCTGTAAAGTAAAGATAAAACCCGTGATTATGATGAATATTTTTTATATACAATATGCAATCTCTTAAAAGTGTTAAAAATATATTTCATTTGTTTTGTGTTAATGCATGGTACAAAAGTGGTCAATTCAAGCCCAACTATTTCTCAACGTTACACCACATATCAATTGAGGCTTCTTGCTGATTATCTTTTTATCGTACAGAAAAATCGAATCAATAATATCACATCTTCAGGAAATTGTGTCAATAATTTAGAGGCATCAAAGTACAACAATCGTTTAAAGATTAACAGGGTGTCGAATATTTTGTAACATGCTAGCAATTATTCTCTGTATGCGATCTATAAATATATCTTTATATTGTATTTCTCTTCCTCTAATAACCTCTATTATGAGTAAATACATGGCACTATTTGATGAGGGCAGGAAGTTTGGAATCTTACCTAAAACCTAGCAGAACGCAGAGGGTTATGACGAGACAAATAATCGAAGCTATACAACCAATGCGACTGATTACATCAAGAGCTTTAGATATGATGCTTCCTTTGATATCCTATTAAGAATACATAATGAAGATATATGGTGTTAGTCTAATCTAGAAACGGACTCAATTCTACTGGCCCAAGGTGTTTTTTTCTCTAATTACGTCACAAAGATATCTAAAGTGTAAGTTGAAGACAGTAAACGAGAGGATGAATCTATTTGATAATATTTTAATAAGGAGCTTTCGCAATGGATCGAATTTCATCTTCTATATTCGATGGTTCACCCAAACCGTAGAATTCATGGCCACATGTTCCACTAGCCATGTTTAAATGAACGAGGGCAATACATGGGCGAATATATACAGTGCGTCCCAGAAAAAACGAAACCGAGAAGTATCGATGTTTTATCATAACTTAATCACAATTATAATTGATAAATGACACATATTTGTAAAGCTTAGATTCTCCCCTTTTAATTGATGACACTTATATGATGCATATTTCACGCATAAGTGATTAAAATGAATTTGAAGAGAGGAAACCAAAAAATCATTTGGCGGACGGTATCTGAATTTCAAAGAGAAAATCAAATTTCTAGAAATTTTAGTTTCTGCTCTTTCAAATGACACCTCAGTCAGGAAAAATGAGCTAGGAATAACAAAGTTCTGTTTGTTTAAAGTAGTGGTTGCACTTATTTTTATTTAACGAATTCGTTTTCACTGGCTGTCTGCCGTAGCAACAAACGGAATTAACAAAAGACTTAACTCCGTTTCGTCGACAATCAGCCGTAGACGACAGACTTAATGCATGGCTGATTGTCAACGAAACGGAGTTAAGTCTTTTGTCAATTCTGCTAGTTGCAACGGCAGGCAGCCAGTGAAAACGAATTCGTTTGATAAAATTATGGAAATGCAAGCACTACTTTAAACAAACAGAACTTTGTCATTCCTTGCTCATTTTTCCTGATTAAGGTGTCATATGAAAGGGCAGAGACTCAACTTTCTAGAAATGTGATTTTCTCTTTGAAATTCAGATACCGCTTGCCAAATGACTTTTTGGTTTCCTCTTTTCAAATTCATTTTAATCACTTATGCGTGAAATATGCATTATTAATGTGAATAAGTTATGATAAAACATCGACAATTCTCGGTTTCGTTTTTCCTGGGACGCAATGTATATAAATAACTTGTAATAAATATGTTGGAATAGATTATCGATATATTCAAGGGGACGCTGCTGATTTCCGAAACTTTTACCATGCTATTTGTAATAAGAATTATTGATGCAGCGTAGGCATACCATGAGAACGGCGAAACTAGTAAGATGAGAGCACCGGCAAGACACCATCCCTTGAAGAGCTGTTTTCTCGGTTTTACACCCTTCGTCCGACCACGCTCCTAAGTCGATGTCCAAATACACACAACGTTGCGACACTTCAGCATCATTTTCTTCTCCAATCAATTTCTGAGTTAAAAGTTGATATTTAACCAAAAACAAATTAATTTCTGCAAAGACTTTTCCAGGATTAATTTTGCTTTTGTTCGTACTTATCTTATTACTTTCATTTATTCAGTGTGCAATGAGAGAAACTTATAAAGATTGGCATGGAGATTGAATATTTTGACCTCGGTAGTGCATCAATCAGTCTTCTCTTAATAGTGTTTGTAGTTTCTATACTTTTACTTCTGTATCTCAAAATTCTATTGATTATATGATTGTTTGTGTTCATCTTGTGTATCGCTTTCTTTAAGAATGTTTGTCATGACACCGTAGGCCTACCTGGTTTACAGGAAACGCAAAGACAATGGATTCATTATCAGGAAGGTCTTTGATATCAGTTTCCTCAATGGTCACAGTTAAGATAGGAGAAGCGACAACCGACACCGTCTTCGGTTGCTGATTCTGCTTGTCTCCAGACGATGGAGTACTGGATGAGAACAGTCTGTTACCCTGAAACAGCTTAGGCGAGTTTAGTAGAAAGACGCTGACGGATATTACCTGGTTAGTACCTGAAATGATTAACAAAAATCATGTTATTTTGTGATATATGATGCAAGTTAATATGTGCTGCTAGTCGTACACCGACTTGTCACTCGTGATTATCATATAAATATAATTTTTCACATTTTGGGCTTGAAATCGTGTTTGATCGGTACCTGCATTACCTTGCATTCCCTTTGCAGCATTGGTTCGTGTCATAAATTATTTTGCATGTTTACATGGGTCCGAATTAGCTTTGAAATTGCAATTTAACCTTACAGTATATGAAACATAATCGTCATAAGCTGGAACAGGAGAACCTACTAGATACCGAAGGAAGAATTGCTTCTGGCAGAAATACTGACGTTACACCTGCCGCGTTAGACGGAGATCCTTCATTGGCTAAAAAGTATATGACGTCATCCATGGCTCCTCCTATAGCAGCCGTGAGGGGAAATTTTCTCCTGTCTACTTTGACGGCTGCCAGTACAAGGTTTGATCCACTACACAGAAATAAAATTAATATTGATGTTTATGTAGATTTTGTTTGCCTAATGAACAATAACATAATATTTTTACGAGTCGTTTAAAGAGGATCCTCCGCACGTTAATCAAGGTCATAAATTTTGTATAAGAAAATCAAGTTAAGTAGTAGGTTTTGCCATCAAATATAGTAAGAGCTTTGATACACTAGGCAATATTTTAAGACGGTGTAAAAGACACGAATACTTTAAAAATATCCCCCAGGTATTGGTATTTCATATGGGGGCACCTAAACGATTATAATGTATTGCGCCCATGACATTTAGAATTAATGATGGCACTATGGTTCTCACATACCTGTAGGTGAAGTTGTTGCTGGATGCCTTTTGAATGGCTTCAGTAAGTGTGGAGATTGTAGCCAGTATGTCTTTTAAAATCTGCTGGGAGCTCAGTGTCTCGAAGGTACTCTCTAGGATGTTCAAGATGTTATCCACTGCTCCTATCACACTCTCAGACACCTTTATGAACGATGTTTTGTGAACATCGATTAAAATAACACTCTCATATTTCATGATACTTTATATTCATTATCATGCTACCACGGATGACTGAGCAAATGCCTTTTCAAAAAGTATTGTCAAAATACTTTTGTACCAAATTAGGCTTAAGCAACAAATTGGGTCAAAAGCCATATCGAATTTGTTACTTCAGTCTGAAAACAATTGCTGACTTTAGTGAAACTGATTTCGGGAATATGAATAGAGAAGCGTGTAATGTCAAATCAATCTCAAATACAGACTTATTATCAGCAAAATGTATGATATTCTCTTTGTTATATTCGCAACCCTTGTTTACAGTGAGCCATTTCACAGAGTCATCCAATATGGATAAAGTTTATTTGGAATGTAACTTTTCCATCAGTGTACTGCCAAATTGTGTGGTTGTTATCAACATTGTGTTTTCTGCATTGCATTTACTAACATCTTTAAAGTTAGGAAACCTTTGTGATTTGTGTGCTGTTTGAGACAATTACGTTATGCATGATAAATGTAGTAATGGACAATTGGGCAGAGAGATTGTCGATATTACACCACAAGAAATTAGTATATCTAGTCTGTTTATTAATAAATTAGGGAAATCCTACGGGTTGAATCAATGTCCTTTGAGAACTTACCTGTATCAGTTTCGACACTGAAGCACTGACGCACGAATTATAATTACATTTTTGATAGGATTTAAGACATGCGTAAGGCTTGACCCACATTCATTCCATCAGCCCAAACTTGGTGGCCCGAATTCTCAAAGGGGGTTTGTCGACAAACCTTGGTTTTCGTGTGTCATATGACGCGTTTCGACGCGTTTTATAAACCAGGTTTGTAAAAAAAACGCGTAAAAATGCGTCATATGACGTACGAAAACCAAGGTTTGTCGACAAACCTCCTTTGTGAATTCGGGCCGGTATGTTTAGAAGACCCTTGTGCTCAGTCACACGCGGCAAAAAAATTATGAATAGGGTTTCAATGGGCCCCAGGAATTACTCCTTACCATAAAATGGATTTCAAGTTACATTAACGTTTAAATTATGAGCTACCAAAGTTGAGTATACTGTTGTAAACGCAATGTAGAACAAACCCGACGTAGGCCCTCACCTCCTCCCCATTAAAGATACTATGTCCCATTTGCAGGCCAAAAAGATAATAAGGTTAAATTCTAAAGGCATTTGAAAGATAATACTAATTTAGAACTTCCCTAAAAAAAGGGGGGCTTGAAAATGTCTTTAAGTGGGAAAATAACGAATATTAGTTGTCGAATCGACTTAAATGCCACCAAGTCAGTAAGTAATAGTCTGATTTTCAGACCATTGTACCGAATGGTCGTACGTTTTGTGCTGCGTAAAGATTCTATCAGTTTAATTTTGGGCATTACAAGAAGTGGGTTATTGATGTAGACAAATGCTCGTGTACCCTTTACAGCTCATTTTATGTATGTTATTACCAACAACAAAAAAGCCAGTCAGTCACTCAATAGTCACTGACAATTAAGTCTAGCAAGTAAACTGGTTTCCCTGCATAATTTGAATATTAGGACACTGCTAACGTTTAAATTTCACAGATAGGACATATATGACATATTCATAATTCCTGCAAAGTTCCACAGAATTTGATGTTGGCTGCAAAAGGACATAGTATCTTAAAAGTAATACAAAGTTTAGTATGGGGTCGTGGATTTGGTTCAAATGAACATATTGGAAACAGATGCGAGTTTACATTATTCAATGATCGTCATCGCGGTTAAAATCGATTCAAAAGTGGTGAAATTTTAAATAATAAAATCTGTATGTGGTATAGCTCTCTCTCAAGACTGATATTACTTTAGTTTTGAAACAATGTTTCTTGACTACAATCGCCCGATTTGCTATCCCCGTTTTGAAATTGTATACCAGAACTGCATATTCGGAGATGTTCATGGTTGCAACTACTATGATTGGTCTTAGGCGCAATTTGAAATATTTAAAAACTTACCGGGTGCACCGGAAAAATTTGATTATTCAATTTCTCGAAAGAAGAAGTGTTTTAGGGGATAATTTTTGTAGTGCATAAAATACATCTTCAGAGGAATTTAAATATATCGAAATGTTAAAGAATTACTTTCCATCCAATTTTCAAAATTTACCAAGACTTTGCAGTACTTTTAATTCACCGCTATGGACAAATTAAAACGACACGGAGGGTCTTAAAGTCAGGCGGTCCTGCCCATGTAGATTCCCTTTTCCCCCTAAAGGGGATTCCACCTGTCCGGGTTTTTTTAATTTATGGAAAGTCACTGTTAAAAGGTTTATCTACCCAGGAAGGTTATAGAGAAGGAGTGGAAACTCTTGTTATGTATTCAAACGCATGTGTGAGTTTTAATGCGTAACATTCCACTTGGTATTGAAGTTTCATGCTCCGAGCCGCTCTTCCACTGCTGGGAATTACCGGCAAAATGTCAGTGTAAATTTTAATCTTTATATGGGGATTGTATTGGGAATGGTGCATCAAACAATTTTTCTAATTTAGTACTCCGCCCTTCCTATAATTTGTGTGTTAGAGTTGGTAAAAGAAAAATTAGATCCCGACAAAAATTCAATAATTTAGGATAATCCGATTAGTTTAGCATGTTTTAATGTCCCGCCATTTAATCCATGATTTACAATCTTCGAAAATTTAAGTTTGCTTATGCGTGCTTTCGCGTGCTTTTTGTATTTTTGGGTTGGAAAAAAGTATGAAATTACAAAGGTTTGAGTTCGCTTGTTCAGCTCATTACACATTCAATAATTGATGAGAAATCATTGGTACAGCGAACCTTTGCTGAGATACTATTTTCTGATGTAGGAATTCTAATCCTGGTATTTTATGCGCTCTTTTTTCTCACCCTGGTCGAAAGTCGCAGATTAGCGCATAACTTTTCGGCGGCTTGGAGCATAGGGTCAAAGGAGAGCGGCTTGATTGCACTCCTTCTCTATCACCTCCCTGATCTACCTGTACGACGGTTTCTTCTGTCAGGTTTTGGTCTAACGCAAATCCAACTACTGAACTTAGTTTGTCTGTGACAGACTGAAGATCCTCCTCATCTAATCTGTTCGAATCCCCAGTCAAGATCTTCAGTTCAACCGACACGATAGCTAAATTGTCTTCCGTGATAGTCTCCTAGAGATAAAAATATCGAAAGGTTGACATCTAAGATGGCAAATGGCGGATGGTATTACATGCCTCATTGAACTACAGTAGATCATTAAAGAATTCAGGCATCGCTGGAGCTCTACAGCCTGCTCTACAGCCTGCTCGACTTCTCCAAAAAAAATTCGTTTGGCGATGCCTTAATTCCAGCGGCGACCGAGCAGGCTACTAATCGGTCGGTCGCCGCTCTGAATTGTGACCATAGTCTAAGCCTGTGGCGGTTGATAGGTGGAATTTTTAAGATATAAATTATGAAATTACATTGCCTGATCCTAAATATTTATCCACAGCTTAAATTGTGTATATACTCACATTTAATATTTCATATTTAGGCCTAGCTCCTGTGATCGGTGACAGGGTTGTAGCTGTATAGTGGGCAATTGATCACATATATTAATGAACATGAGAAGCACATATCAAAAGCGTGTCCAGAAATAAGGAAAAACTGAAATCGATTATAGGCCTACTATGTGTTATTTGGCCATGCTAAATTATGATTTACGTGTTCCACAAAGTATACGAATTTTCGTTTTTCGAATAGCTAAAATCAGTGTACTACCGTCACCTCCTGAATTCCATAGCTGTAAAAAACTACAGTGTAAACAAAATGAATGCGACTGCGTCCCTAATATGCCTCCGCCTATATGCTTGTATTACCAAGTATCGATTTAAGAGGTGTAGGCCTATAGGTCATATTTAGTTAACATGTCATAAGATAGTTTTAACAGCCTTGAGAGTTGAAAACGCATTTTGGCCCTGTTATATAATTTAGCAACTTTTTACTTGACATCTGTTAATTTTTGATAAATTATTACACTCACAAGATATTTTATGGGATTTTTAATTTTCCTGACCGTGTGAGCTTTCACTTTTTATTTCTTACATGTGCATTCTAGTATCCTTACATGCTTATTATTCTTCATTATTCGTTTGAATTGCTTTTTAATGCTCGCTGTAACGATCTAATTTCTGGAAGTTTTACACTTGTATGACCCTGTAACCACATTACATCGGAAATTTAATCAGTTCATCTTTGTCTATTCATACATACATGTACCTGGCCCAGGTTTGTTTAGAATTCGTTTAATGTTTATAAAGTTAACGCGGTAACGACTAGCTGACAGACAACATCAAGTTATGCCTCGTTCCGCCACCTTCATAACAACAACTTGTAAGTATACTACCTGACCATGGACCCTACTACAGATGGACTAATAATGAGAGTGTTTCTTTGATCACATCATGACCACCGCCACCTGATAATATGTATGTTGATGAGGACATTCATTTGACGCGACAATGTTGATTATGTAATCACGCATCATCACAGAAAGAGGAACCTTTTACATTTCCTCAGATTCTTTTCGCTGGGCCAGGGCCCAGTGTGTAATTTTAGGAAAAGTATCGTGATTAGGCTTCATCACAGGTGGAGCCAGTGTAGTTTGGGGTGCATGCACATGTGAATGGTGATCCATCTACTTTATAACAAGTACCTCCATTCATACAGGGGTTACTGTAACATGGACCGAGTGCTGGGAATAGAAAACAGGTTTACAGTAAATATATCAAAAACAAGACAAAACATTGACAACTGAAATCAATGTCCTTAGATTAGAATCATCGCTATAGCGATATTAATTTAAAAATATCAAGTTATTTATATTTAATTGTTTTTTTTTTTAATTCACGACAACTCAGAGGTATAGCAGTGGTCTCGTAAATGGGATGTCACGAGGTCTAAACCAAGCCGATACACTAGAACCCTTTAAGAAGGAATTACCCAGTTCATCGGAGATGCCTTAAAGCAGTCGGTTCCCTGGTTACTTAATTCCAAGTTTTATAATATTAATACACTTTTAGCTGACAAGTAAAACAAACCGTCTACTTGCGCTAAATACTACTTTTTATTGTACCGAAGAGTCTACCCTATATAAAAAAACATAGAATAAATAATTAAATAAATAATATCTTACCTGTACATGTAAAGTTAGGTGTACTCCATATGCCTGTATGCTGGCAGAAGCAGATTGGTACATTATCAGGAATATAACCACCCTGACATATGTATACAGCTATATCTTGATACACTGATCCTAGTATCATGTTGGAGGAAAGTGTGACGTTTGGGGGGCTTTCTTCACATTCGACAGCTATTCAGGAAAACATAAAAGCCTATAATATCAAGTCATTGTTCAAAGTTCACGAAGGGATGCTATTGTCTCTCTTGACATCCAAATATAGTGTTGGTACAATTTTTTTTAAATTAATTTTTTATTTGTATCACTTGCTCTAACGTGAGCATACCTTATTGTAAACCCTTCATGAATAACAATTGTATTAACGGTAACAATTTAGACTAAATTCTCCAACGCCTTGCTTTATAAATTCTGTATCAAAAATAGTTTCAGCCGCATATTACTGAAGTTTGATAGTTGTTGTTATTACGCTAGCACTTAAACCCCTATCCTGAAGCATGACTACATATCGAGAATGTTCATGTAATACGGAATATCATCCGCAAATGTTGAAACGGACCTTACACGTGTTTTGAGGAACAAAATCTGGTATAGTAATTCATTCACTTGACTCTCATTTCATTTGTTTAGGGTTCGAATCTCATCCCGGCATAACTTTTCTTTGACAAGACATAAATCCACATTTGCAAGTATCTAGCCATGTGTAGTAGGCTCTTAGCAATTGAAGGGGTAATAATAATTCAAGGGCCTACATGAACACGAAGAAGAGCAGCAATAATTATGATGGGGCTACTCTGTGGGTAAATAAGATTCAATTAGTATCTCTTATTTATTAAACTATCAATTATTTTACCTTCACACGATGGTCTTTGATGATTCCATGCTCCATTAGTCATACACCTTACAACGCTTTCTCCAGTTAATGTGTATCCCTCCTGACAGGTGAAATGAAGAGTAGCATTGACAGAGTAAGTTGTTCTGTCGTCTGGTAAACGATTACCATGCAAAGGTTCACCTGGGTCACCGCAGGCAGGAATTCCTGGAAAATATATAAGACAAAATTGTTATACTTATCACTGAAACATCAATTTTAATAACTAATTTAGCCATTTATTCCATCAATTCCTTCATTTACGTGAAGAAAACCGTACCAAAATATACATGATGTATAATCATCTTTAAACAATACAAAATATGTTGATTGCTCAAATATTGTCAAATCACATCAGCTATAATTCTTGTCATCTGTTCAAAGAAGCCGTCTAACATAGTCAGTTTGTATTTTTTACAAGTCCATGACCCTCTAAAAGATATTCAAATAGTAGATTTCACATTGTCTCACCAATTTGACATAGACTCTGAATTCGGTCTGAACAAGATAGGTCATTCCATTGGTACTGATGATCCTTTCTCATTTCTACACAGTCTTCGGAATCCGTACTAGGTTCGCCCTCGTACCATTCCTCATAGTTCATTCGAGTTTCTGAAGAAAGAGATGAATGGTATGATGAATATGGTGTCCTACTATTCGTTAGAAAGTTGCTCTGATTGTCACTTCCATTGTAAAGCCTTAATGTAAATACTACTCGTACATACTGATCTGTATTTGAATAGACAGTTCCAAACATTTCTCTTTGGTCTTGTTTAATTTCAGATTTGAATTTATAGCATTCAAGATGTGCCCAATATAGAGTGTTTAAATTTTCAAAAAGTTTCAGCAGGATGTGCAGTTTAAAATTTCGTATTCTTTACAAAACTATTCAATGTATCTTTTTTGTTATTCTACTAAATTTATTCTTTTCATTGTTTTCAAGATTTAAGTTCTCAATTCATTTAATTACAAATTAGCAAATGCAGGTAATTGATCAAAACATGGTGACATTTGATATTGCATATTTATCACTGTAATTATCACAAAATAGACTCTTATTACCTCCTAGTCCTATGTAAGGTTATTATTAAAAAATATAATTATTGAACATGTTTAAATTAGGTTGTATGTTATTACTTTGCAACAAGGTCGAGATCGAGGATCTCATTTTGCCAAACTATTTCATTTTTACTCAACAATTTATTTGTTTTATATTTGAACTGTAACAAATTACTTACATATATTACCGATAATAACGAATTACCGATACATTTGATACAGATTACATAACGTATAATATTTCTTATCTTATTTCAATTCCTGAGTTGAAATAGGAACGAATTTGGGAAGTTTTATTGTATTGACATTTAATACAAATAGTTGCAAATGGTATACCGATCAAATTTTTGTTTACAGTACAAATCCTTTTGCCTCTGCTATTGTTTGATTTTGTTTCAAAGATAAATGTTTTTTCTTCCAATAAACAGATAAAGACTAAATTTTACTGTTTCTATTTTTTTTTGAGGAGTCACGTACTATCAGACCAATACCAGGACCGTCCGACTCCGTCATCTTTGTCATAACCACCAATCCACCATGCCTTGTTAACGTCTATGTCTCTTAGATACAGGGCTCGGTCCAGCAATAAAGCATTAGTGCTCTCATCGAGTATTTCAGCCAGAAATCCTCTTCTCTCATTACACTCTTCGGCCCCGACATCACAGTTCCTCGAAACATCCAGGAATTGGAAACAGGTGCCCATGTATTCTAGTACCATGTCGGATTGGTTAAGTCCAACACTCTGGCAAGACCGATCTAGAAATAAACATATAATGTTAAGACGTGCTAAAACACGATCTTACACACCTTCGAAAATATCGACTTAAGTAATTTTAACTAGCCTCGTCCGTCACATTATGATCGTGTGAACATTACAGTGACATATTATATAAAATGTAGTCCGAACATGATGTCTATATGACACAATAGGATACTGTATTGCTTTTGAGCTAATATTTATTTATATATATATATATATATATATATAGTACGGTTCAGGAGGCGGGATAGGTGTTTGCCTTATTGCTTTGGAACGATTGACTTGAAGCGCTTCCGTGTCTTCGATAGTAAACTAGACTGCGCTGGAAATTTGGTTATATTCCATAACAAAGCATGGAACGCAGTGGCGGATCCAGGGGGGGCCCCCCCCCCCCCCTTGAGAAAAAAATCATGTAAAATCACGTGATTTTTACCTTTTTTGGGGGTTGGGCCCCCCCCCCCCCCTGCGCTCAAGGGGGGGGGTGCAAATTGAAATTTTTTTGAGGATCAAAAAAAAAAAAAAATGTGCTCACTACCCCCCCCCCCCCCCCCCCCCCCCCCCCCCCCCCCACTGAGCGACTTTTCGGCCGGCGCGATTTTCAAATTTCCGGGAGCAAAAAAAAAAAAAGTTGGGCCCCCTCCCCTAAGAAATCCTGGATCCGCGCCTGATGGAACGAATATATATTCTTTCGTAAATTTAATTGTTCAAGCCGGGAAACTTCATTTTTGATTGCAAGATGTGACTATAGAACTTGCATTAGTTATTCCAAATGTATACAATTGCTTTACTATCAAAAATATATGTCGATTCACTGTGTAGCCTTTTTATTTATTTATTTATTTATTTATTTATTTCCTCTCATAGGGTGGATGGCCCTTTCAGCACAGCTGATTTTCAAAGGGGTCCACAAACATTAAAAAAAACAATAAATATACAGTGAATTATACAATAATTTGTAAAACGTTGCAAATGCAAGAAATAAGGCAATGAATATGTACATGTAGTTACAACAAATAAATATCTAACAAATTAATGTACAAAACAAACAAACAATAAGACAGTTAAGTGCAGATATTCAACTAGAACGACAACAAGCATACGAGTAAAACTGTAAAACCGATAACATAACACACAAAAAACAAGAAGAAAAAAAACAAGACAGGAATAAGAGGATGTGTATAATATTTATCACGTTTATTTATTTATTTTTTTTTAATAAAAAAAATTAAAACATAACTAATGGAATATCAAATTGAAGGTAAAAATTGTAAAAAGGGCAAGACAATGTTCAGTCTATATGAGTTCATTCAAATCAATGGTGCGAACAAAGGTAGCCAGTATGTTTAAGGTTCGCGTTCAAAAGAGAGACAATTGAATAATTTGGAGCTATGATAAAAGAAACTTCTTCTCAAAAACTCGGTCTTAGGCTTTGGAAGCTGAATTTTATGATCGCTATTTCTTAAATCGTGTGGATTATGTCGTAATTAAACTCGTGAAGATAAGTAAGTTGAAGTTAAGTCATGCATTATCTTGAAGAGCATGATTAAATTTCCTCTTTTCCATCTGTCAACGATTGGGACTACCTTTGCTTGCTGGTAGATTTCTCGAGTTCTTTGCTCAAAAGGTGCCTTAATCATAATCCGTACAGCTTATTTAATACGACTTGAGTAGCATTATTCCAAATTATAGAGCAATAATCAAAGTGTGTTTGAATAATACTAAAGTATAGCATTCTAGCAGTACACATGTCAACAATAGGTCTGACTGTACGAAAGAGAAATAAGCCTCGGACAACGTTTTTGCGTACATGGTCTATGTGCAGTTTCCTATTCAATCTAAGATCAAGAATTACGCAAGATATTTACAACTATAAACTTCTTTCAGTGCATTATTACCGATGTGTATATTTTATATATTATGAAACTGCTTTACTCTTTTATGGGATCCAATAAGCATATATTCAGTTTTGCTCATATCAAGTATCAGCCTGTTAGCATTCAGCCATAAAGTTACAGAATTTAAATCATCATTAACCTTGTTTGATACATCATTGGCACTATTGGAGGAATAATATATACACGTATCATCTGCAAATAATGAAATTGATGAATGCTTCACCACATTTGCAATGTCATTTATAAAAATTAGGAATAACATCGGTCCCAATATTGACCCTTGTGGAACTCCGCACTCTACTTTCCCAACAGATGATGTAATAACATTTACTTTGGTGACTTGCGTGCGCTCACTCATATAATTTTTAAACCAAGATGCACTATTTTGATCAGATCCGTACCATTTGACTTTCTTTACGAGCAGATTGTGATTTTTATGATCAAACGCTTTCTTTAAATCCAACGCTATAAATGCGGTTACCAGACCGTTATCCATATTAAATAATAGATCTTCAGTAAGGTTCAAGAGGGTGTTGCGGATGAATAATTTTGGCGAAATCCAGATTGGTGACTGTATACAACAACGAATTTTGTGTAAGATATTCAGTGACCTGTTCATGCACAATCCTTTTAATAACATTAGATAGGATCGGGAGGATCGAGATCGGTCGGTAGTTCGACAATTCAAAAACATCCCCACTTTTGAATATGGGGATTACTACTGCAGTTTTCCATTCCTTCGGGATTACACCACTGGTTATAGACAAATTTATCAAATGTGTCAATGGTGAGACAATGCAGGACATTGCCATTTTAATCATTTTAGCCGGTAACTCATCCAAACCAGTGGCCTTATTTTCAGGAATATTTGTCAGCACTCTTTTTACATGTTCGATCAAAACCGCCTTAAATTCCAATGTTGTATCTGCCCTTTTTAAAAAGGAAGTAAAGTCACCATCTGAATTACAACCATTATGTAATTTTTGTGCAACACTGACAAAAAAAATCATTACATTATTTTAGACATGTCATGATCGTTATTAATCGTTTCATCATTAAATCTAACACCAGGAATACGAGAGTTAGTCCATTTATTAGGGATCATACATCTAAGTGCTTTCCAAATCGCAGCACTATTACCTGCATTTTCCTTTATTTTATCTTGTAAGTACGCCTTTTTTGAATTTCGCATGAATGTAGTAACACACTATTTCTTAACTTCTTATAACTTTCCCATTCATCATCATTGCCAATGCGCTTAGCTTTCCTCTTCTGTTTATCTCTTTCTTTCATCATGTCCTTTATTTCTTTTGATATTCATGGGACATTATTTTGTTTGACCCTCTTCGTTTTCATTGGGGCATGCTTATCAACAATCCTTTTAAACGTTGTTGCAAATGTACAATAAGATTCATCCACATCGTTTATATTGTGTACATCATTCCATGATTCATTTAACGATTCTCCTTGAAAATCATCAACATTCATTTTTTTAACATCACGAAAAGTGATATACTTATGTTCATTAACCCTAGTTCTGATGTTGCCCCACGAGGCTACAATCATGTAGTGAGCACTCAAGCCAATCTGAACTATATCATTAAAACTGACCTTTTCTTCGCTGGAGGTAATGATTAAATCTATTGTACTACTAGAGTTACGAGTAATTCTAGTCGGTTTAAAGATTAATTGCTTTAAATGGTAATTTTCAAGTAAAGTCAAAAGCCGATTAGTATTGCAGCTTGGGTGAGAGTTCTTGATATCAAAATTTAAGTCACCTTGTAATGTATTAAGTCGGACGTCGAGAGTCCAGGCAGGGAACCTGATAATAACCTAGGTTCCTAACATCATTTACAAAATAATATTTTTTAGTTATTTTCCCCCACATTTTTTACCACAAACGAAGCATAAATAGTTGTTTTCGGGAAAATATGTTTATATGCAAAAGAATAATGAGCTACATAGTTCCTACACAAAATTGTGCGATTCGGCCAATTAACAGTGGATGATATTTCATTTAACCAAAAAAAAGACATAAATAGAGATTACTTCTAGCAGTAGTAAAATTAATAGTTCGAATAGTAGTAGCAGTAGTAGAAGTAGAAGCATTAGTAGTAGTAGTACAATTAGAAGTAGAAGCAATAGTAAAGGTGGTAGCGGTAGAAGAAGTAGTAGTAGTAGTAGTAGTAGTAGTAGCAATATAGGTAGTATTGGTGGTGGTAGTAGTAGTAGTAGTAGTACAGCAGTAGTAAAGTTGACAGTAGTTGTTGTAATAGTAGTAGTCGTAGGAGTAGTAGTAGTAGTAGTAGTAGTAGTAGTAGTAGTAGTAATACCAGTAGTATAGGATTTCCTGGCCAAATTCGTGAGTCTGTCATCAAAATTAATTTTGTCTTGCGTTCAACTTCGACGGTTTTAGTGCTGTCAGATATATGTCGGGTTTATATACCTTTGTCTAGTTTTCAAATCTATGAAGTTTTTGTTAGAATCCATTTCATTCAAATTAATGAACAATGTGCTTATTTCGCTATTTGGTCATTCGAGTTGGCGCAACATGATTTCCTGACATCATGACGGTTTACTTTTAGCATTCCACTTCATTTGAAGTATTCAAATTAGGAATGTGTGCACTTAAATTGATGGTCACTAAACATTTCTCGTTATTACACATTTTTTATAGCTCATTCTTTTTCTTTTAAGATTGCTTTTTTTCATGTGTATTTCATCATATTTTATTTTCTTGCATTTATACCCTTATACTTATTAGCTTTATCTGACATTCATCGGCATTTAAGTTTGATTGATGGATTTAAAAAAGACTTGAATCTTCTTACTTGATGGTCTCAATATGTTTGTAAATTTTTATGTAACTTGTAGTAGTAGTAGTAGTAGTAGTAGTAGTAGTAGTCGTAGCAGTGGTAGTAGTAGTCGTAGCAGTGGTAGTAGCAGTAGTAGTAGTAGTAGTGGTGGTAGTAGTAGTAGTGGTTGTAGTAGTGGTGGTCAGGCGCGTACGCAGGATTTTTTCAAGGGGGGGGGGGTTTAACAATTTGAAATCGAAAAATTTCGCAACGCCTCAGCCAGCCGCTGAATAAGTGGGGG